CCAGTGGTTGGACTGGTGGACGACTTCAGTGAGGAGTCGATGACATTTGGCTCTGGTAGAAACTCTGCACACACAAACACACAGGAGGAAAAAAATTATAAGAAGATATCCAAAAGATTTTCAAATTAAAGGTTTCACATACATGTGCACAATGTTTAAAATCCATGTCTGACATATTTGGTGGCCTGAAACAGGCAGAGTCCATAATTACAGAGAATCCAACGATGACTTTCATACCAGTTTTGATGGAAGCTGCGTCTCCTGTCCTCCATTAATGTGACTGGAAATGTCCTCAAACTGGGCAGCACTGGTGGATCATCTTTGTATGTCTGATAAGAGATGAATGCAGAGCAAACATGAGGGTGTAACTGAGGACAATAACTGATCAGTGTTAACTTATTACTTTATTCTGTCATTATGGTTCATTACTGTCAGTTACATTGACTGTATGAATTGTAATGACACGACACTCACAGACACACAGGTCTGTTCAACACCGCTGGTTGTCCCTCTTCCTCTCCCTCACAGCTCGTCTTCCTCCTCACTCTCAGGACTGTCCCTCTCTGTACTGCAACAGTGTCAGAAACCCACATTTGAATTTTTTGTTTATTTATCATATTTAATTTTTCATCTAATGTCTTTTTGATTAATGTGTGAATTAGGGTAATTGAGGTCTATCAATGTCAAAAATCTCAATGTATGATTTCAGTCAGTGTTTAAATAAATCCAACAGGAAATGAGATGTTTATGTTAAAACAGTGGCAGTGTTTTCAAATGATGGCACAGTGATTGTGCTTAGAAATACTCGGGTGATTATTATTTACAGGAATATTATGTGAAATACATTTTTGAGAGATCAAAATGTTGTCATTCAGGAGAAAATCTTCCCTTTTAACAGGATCCATGAAAACAACCTGCTCTGTATCAGAGATGAAACACCAACACGAACATTAACACACAAATTCAGCAGGAATCCCCTGAATGTATCTTCATATTTCACAATACTCGCAGAAAGGGAGGAGTCTATGACTGCATCATCACTCGTCATTAGTTCTGGGCAAGCGCTCCAAGACGGTCTGGAACTTTTCACTCCAACTTTTGTACCACTCCGATCTGATCAGGACCCAAAAACTGCACGTAATGGATGTAACATCAGTCTGCAGGAATCTACTGGTTGTCCTTTTTTCTTGATCGTGACTGCAGGTGAGTTAAAGCGAGAATCAGATTTTTTTATTCACACTAGAATACCGCGTTACTCTGCAGCAGCCCACCTTCACATCACATATCAGCCAATGTCCTCCACTTTGTGCCAACTCGGTCAGCAGCCCGGTGTCACTGAACGTTGTTCAGCATTGAGGCCATTCGTGTGCAGCGCAACAATATCCATATCCAATTCTTGAAACCCGGCATGGGTTGGCCCAACCAAAGTGTCAAGTGTCCTATTTCGACGTTCGAGAAAAGGCGGAGGGAGAGGGCGATGTCTGCTCGACACCTGTTCATGAAGCTTCTCTCTAAAACTAAACACGGTCCTTCTTCTCCTCCTTCAAAGTCGTCTGGCTATCGTCCTTAAACTTTCTAATAACGTCTGAATACCACCTCTGCGTTATTTCTACCGTCTCTTTAACGACCGAGACAAAATAAAATGTTCTTAAACGAAAGAATCCGTCAAAAGAAGTAGCGCGTGAACGCAACGCTGTCAAAGCCGAGCTCTACCGGAAACAACTTCTTTTCCCCACCTCTTTGCCGAAAAGAAAAAAAACACCTACTTCCTGCCCCAGTGAACCGTAAAATGAATGTTACTTATATACACGCAGTGTTGCTTGTGTTGGATTAAAATGACTGAAAAACTGTCAGCTAACATCTGTATGTTTATGCCGCTGTCTGTGTTACATAAAAACTTAAACAATAATAAGTTCGTGCTTGTTTCAACAAATAGGTCTCATTTAAAATAACTGTTGAAGCGGATTTCTTATATTGTGCTTTTTGTGTGTGTGTGTACATTGTTTTATTGCAGGAAGCTTTATTAAAGCCCCACTTTATGTCTGTAAGTATTAAACATCTTTAGATATGCGCTATACAATTTAAAGACTAAATAATTGTAACAAGTGTCACCTGGCAGTTTGTTGCTCTCTTCCAGGTGATTGGCTGAAGAGCTGTGAAAAGGTAGTGGGTGTGTGGGGTGAAGTCAGCGCTCTTCTGTGGAAAAAACCAGAGGCAATTAATTCACTCGGTGCGAGTGGGTATACTGTCGGTAATAGTGATGGGTCGATGAGGCCTCGTGAAGCGTTTCAGCACATTCCCCAAACTGTATCGATACTGTGTCGACACAGTTTTGCTGTTTTGCTCCATACTGACACCTGCTGGACCTTAAATATCATTGCAGGCAACTTACTTTAGACTCACTACGGACACTGATTCAAAGACCTAGTCATTCTTGTACACTGTAAGGCAGGGCTCTAGAGTGCGACCAAAAAAAAAATATTTGGTTGCACCTGTGCGACCAACTGTTCGGGTAGCAAAAATAAATAAATATCTGCAACCTTCCCTGTGGTCAACAACAGACACACATTTTGCCCCTATCGTGGACTAAACCAATCAGAGATAGTCAGGGGTGGGACCTCTCTGATTGGCCGTGGTCCAGTTGAAAGTGCAGGTGGAAGTGGGAGGTGAGTAGCTTGAATAAAGCGATATCAATTCATTAAATCCTGAATCGACTTTTAAATATAACTGTGTTTTGCCAGAAACGCCAGATTCTCAGATTAAAGCTCACAAAACCATTTCAACAACAACCAAACAGCAAATGAGAGCAGGTACACGGACTCCACACAAAGAGTGGAGTGCGTGTACACACACGCATCAGAATCAACTTTGTCTTTCTCGGCTTTCTCACCCGACAGCCCGTAGACGGACACACTGTCGGAGCTTAGCGATCCTGATGCGTCCGGTCCGCGCTGTGATTACGTCTTTTACGACCCAGCAGCAAACTGCGCTTCACATTTGATCAATGTCGTCATGAATTTGGCTGTTTTGCTTCCACGACTATTAAAATCACACTTCATGCACAGCTAGCTCTCTCTCTCTCTCTCTCTCTCTCTCTCTGTACTTCGAGAACAGTTTCCGTCTCCAATCTCTGTTTTCTGTATTATTCATTCGCTTATTAAACTGAACACTATTGTAGGTATATTGTTTGTTTTAGCTTCATGATTTTGAATGGTTTCATAAAATTGCTATTTTATTGGGTAATATTTTAATTGATAATGTTGTTTGTTTTTCAGCTGTGCTGTCTCTGCTGTCCTTTTTTTTTGTTCTTTTGATTGATTTGTAATTTTGTTTTGGTTAGTCCGTCCAGCCGTAAAGGCGGTTATTGATTGAGAGTAAGTTGTGTAAGGGCGGACTAACCTCCCTTTTGTTTTTTGTTTAATTGTTTGTGCCCCTTCCCTTTATCTCCCAGATCGCAGGTCATGCATAGCACTGATTCCCAGCTGCGCTGAGACCCGAATTGTTTGCAGTGTGTGCCACGATTGTAGTGTCGCTAAGCGGGGTGTGACGGGTTGCAGTGTTGTTATTTTCGCACCGTTGGTGTGGTAAGTCTCATGTGCAGCTGGGATATCAGCAGGATGTGTTGTAAGTCCTGTCTGGAAATAACTGGGAATTTTATGTCTAATTAATGTAATAAATAATCAATTTATATCTTTGCCCCATTTACTCATACCTTGTCCTCGGTTACACAACAACAACTACAACTAACTTGATCTAAATAATTTAATGTATTTGGTAGACCATAAAAACAGCAGAGCTGCAAAAACAAGTAGATGTCAAATATTAATAAATACCAATAACTAGAAATGTGCATAAAAGAGTTTTGCTGGGTGTTGTCAGTGTCAGTAGTGTGTATGTAATGTCTATACAATCCATGCAAAGAAGCTGTGGTTATTAACACAAAGTGGTGCTAATAAAATGGAAAGCACAAGTTTCTTATAACACTAAAATCTCAAAGTGCTTGACTTATATGTGTAAATTATTTTATGTACTATTAAACACTTTTATTGTGAAAGCACAAAAAGGGAAACACTCACTGTAATGATCCTGTGTAATCACCACAGCTTACAGCTGTTTACAGCTGTTGTTTTTGGCTCTGTTGGTGTTTTTGTTTTGTTTTGTTTTTTGTTATTGCTAACCCTTAAAGTTTGGATTTGTTTGGCTGAATTTTAAATTCATGTCATGTTCTAAGAATATCTCCAACACAACAGGCTGATATGGAGCTCCAAACCATGATTGGCTGCTGTACAAGTGAATGGTTTTAACTTTGACCTTTAACCTCTCTGCTCTGTGTTGTTTCCTCTTTCAGACCAGAAAAACATCACAGCTGAGTCTGGACAGAACGTCACTCTGACATGTCGAGCTTCAAACAACATCATAGTTGTAAAATGGATCAGAGCTGATCTGAAGTCAGATTATGTCCCTTTTTTTTTTCCCCAGGATGATCTGTTTGTTCCAGCCAACCAGCATCAGACAGACTGTGAACGCTTACAGGCAAACATCACACTCATGATCAGTGATTCATTTTTCTCTGAACTTTAAATTAAATACATTTTACTCCATGTAGTTGTTTTTTCTGAGTCACTTTATAAGACCCTTTCTGACCTGTACAGTCTATTGATGGTGTTTGTCTCCTGCACTGTAAGTAAAGTTTCTTGACATGAATGTTGTTTCCTGTTGCTTCATGAGTAAAACAGAACTGAAACATAATGTGAGCTGGAATGAATCCATAGTTGGTTTGTGGTCATTTTTCTTGCTTTTCACCACAAAAAATGACCACACCGACCAATCGGTGACATCAGTTTACTACCTGCTCAGATCTCTTGGAACCCCGGCCGAGCAGGTACTAAAGAAATACCTGGTACCAGGTACTGATGACCATTCGCACTCACATTCAGACCTCTGGGTGATTCAGAATCACCAGTGAACTTAACCCCACTGACTGCATGTCTGTGGACTGTGGGAGGAAGCTGGAGTACCTGAAGAGAACCCACACAAACACAAGGAGAACATGCAAACCCCCCACAGAGACTCCCCGACCAGGTGGTGGATGCAAAGCCTGGGTGTCACCATGTGGCCCTCTTAAAAATATATTTAGGTACTTTAAATATACACAACATGTAAACTATAAATAATAATAAATGAAAGTTATAATGCTACTTATGTCAGCTGTAACTCGTCTGGACTCTAATTTTTACAGTTTTGATTTTATTGTTGAGTGTCGGTGCAAAAACTAAAAAAAACCCAAATGAACAGTTATCAATAAATATAACAAACATACAACATACACTGATAAACACACAGAGCCGATCTGAGTTTTTTTTAAAAAACTGATCATCTGCCAAGAAGTCATTTCCATCCATCCAGCTGGAGCCTGTCCCAGCTGTCATAGGGCAAGAGGCGGGGTACACCCTGGACAGGTCGCCAGTCTGTCGCAGGGCCAACACACAGGGACAAACAACCATTCACACTCACATTCACACCTATGGGCAGTTTAGATTTTTCAATTAACCCATCCCCACATTTCCAATGTTTCTATTTATTATTTTATTTTATTTTTATGTGTAATGTCTTTACTTATATTGGTAAGTAGACTTTAGTGAACATGACTTATGACGGGTTATATAAAATATAGAAATAAGCTGTTTAGTAAAGTATCTTAAAGACTGTGTTATTTGACACATTTCACATATTATACACCAACAAGTCATTTACAGCAGTGTTGGCCAATCACTTTTATACAAATACCGGAAACTAGTTCGGGGCACAACCGTATTTGGCGCCGTTACCGTCCCGAGCGAACTTCGTCACAGCGGGGACACCGGACAAGATGGATACCGGAGTTCTTACGTCGCTCTTCGGGATTCTTCTCGTCTGTTATTTCGCGTTTGCATCAACAGGTGAGTATGTAACTCTTAGATTGCTGATGAATTCATTTGCCGTTATTGGCATATTAAACACATGCAACCGGGACGTAAACGTGATTAGCGAAGCTCGCCGGTTACCGGGCTTCGAGCGCAAGTTAGCTCGCTAGTTGCGAAGTAGAAGCGGCTCTGTGTGGTGTGAGTTTTCCGTGTGTTTTGCTTAGTGTTGGCATTTGTGTGTAGTTTAAGTGATCACTGTTAGAGCCACCGAGACATGATGGACATTGTTTTTCGGCTGAAACCTCAGAAAACAGAAAACCTTCACTTCAATCAAAACAGCTACCCACCGAGCTAGCGACAGCAAGGCGACACGTCACGCTAAAGTTAGCCTGTCGGTGCAAACAAGAGTGGCGGAGAAAAAGCGGACTGTCCCGGATTACTTTCACATGACAGGGGATTTTAATCAGGCAAACCCGAAGTTGGGATTAATATAATGCTATTAGCATGTGCAGTGCTCTGCTACGGGAGAAAATTAAGAATAAAAAGCTCGAAACTGACTTTTCGACACGATGTCGTGCTTTCGTAGCGATCAGCGAAGGAGGAGAAGCGCTACCGCGAGGCTTAATGTTCGCGGCGGGTAACAGGTCGGCTGGCTTCACCCCGGCGCACAAATCACAGCTCACTTTACCGCGTTATCTCAGGAGAACAACCAAGACACTAAAGAAGTACTAAAACGTGTACTAAAACAAGTAAAAGTACTAAAACACACTCACAACTGGAACACTGATCAGAATCAGAACCTCGTTAACGGCGTCAAGTACCTGCTGAGAACATC